CCGATGCCAGCGCCATTCATTACTGTCGTGCTTCTTTATGCACAAAGTTTGAGTGTCCCGTCTGCAGCTTTCTAAACTTTGGGAATGGAAGTATCATTGTAATCAACAGCACGAGGGGGAAGTGGCCGGGCTGGGCGGCCCCGGAGCGGCCCGGCCGGCCTGAAGAAACGCTGGCGGGTCCGCGGGGCCGTTGGGGTTGTCACGTCCCGGAGGGCCAAGGGTCGGTGGCGGTCGGTCCTCGGCCACCAGGCTTCCGTCGTGTGCTCTAGGCCCATCGGATCGGCCCGCTGCGTGCGGGGAACAGGCGCCGAACAGGGCTCACAAAAAAGGATCATTGAACCGGGGGAAACGGGACAAACACTGTTCGAAAAAGAAAAGTCTAAACCCTATCCACTAGTCAACGTGTCTTTTTCTATCGTTTTTGCCGTTTTTTTCTTTCTGCGCCGCCAGTATTCACTCAGTGAATGCATGTCAAAGCGGTCCGCACTTCCCCATTGAGTCCTTCGGTATAACGAGATAAAACCTCGTTGACAGACAGACAGCTCTCCTCCAAGTTCCCCCGCGTTTTCTCCATCTAACAGCTTTCTTTTCAGTCCCCCTTTTTCTGTGGGTATTTGAACCCGGACCTTGCGGCCGTTTTCAAGGATAAGCCATTAGCGGCGGTCCGTCACCGCGCAACATGTTGCCGGCCCACGCCGCGTTATGGGAAGTTGCCAAAATTGTGGGTCCTTTTGGCTCCTAAAAAAATGAAAAAAATATCTCGTTCTAAATTTTTTTTAGTATTTTTCCTGTATTCTAGGGGTCATTCTAAACGCATTTCGGAAGGAGGCCAGGATTTTCTCGCACTTTGATTTTTCCCCCATACTTTACATGGGGGAATGGCACGGAAGTTACCGAAAATGTGCATGGCACGGAAGTTACATCATCAAACAAACCGTGAAAACGGACCAACCCGTTCACCAAATCGAACAGGTGTCTCGCCTAAAGTTTAAGAGACGTGAAAGCGCAAAATGGCCAGGTGGACCGAAATCGATAGGCCGTGTAGCTAGCTTGCTATTGATGACACGGAATGTTACACACAAACCTGACACATGCCGGATTTTCACCTTTGATGGTCCAGCCAGCCGGAATTGAGCCCTCCAGCGAAAATCCACCTACCGCGCCGGAAAGAGGAAACCACGCTGCTCATTCTGGACGCTGAGCCAAACGTTTCTCGCTACAGGTTCGGCGGTGAGGCGCGAAACTAAAGTTGACGATGTTTGAAAACCAGTACACAGTGGACATTTATTCATCCAATAAAGCAGGAGGTGTGAATCACTGGAATAAATTGCTATCCAAGGGTGTCATAAAAGATTGCCAACGGAACAAAAGGCTGTTCGCGGATTTGCTCTCCGACAAATAGTTCAGGAGATTTTCGCCCTGGAACACGGACTTTTTGGACAATGGACAGCACGGAAGTTACATTTTGCCTAGTTTTAGCATGTTTTGACAGGGAAATGCTTGAACTGCATGCTCGGTTAGTGTGTGGGATAGCAGGGCAGATAAAGCCCAGTCATAGGAATCAAACCGCAGGTCGATACGTTGAAAAATAAGGAAACTGTGGCCCAAAGACACAAAAGGACCCACAATTTTGGCAACTTCCCTTATCGCCGCGCCGCTGCCTTCTGTCCGCCCCATTTGACGCACCGACACCTGCACACTAATGACGGAGTGGCCGCTTTTTGGGGCGTGCCGCTGATGGCTCTCTCTCTCTCTCTCTCTCTCTCTCTCTCTCTCTCTCTCTCTCTCTCTCTCTCTCTCTCTCTCTCTTTCGCTCTCTCTCTCTCTCTCTCTCTCTCTCTCTCTCTCTCTCACTCTCTCCCTCTCTCTCTCTCTCTCTCTCTCTCTCTCTCTCTCTCTCTCTCCCCGAAAACGTTTTCGTTCGTTAAGCGTCGCACGAGTACTGATCAAGGGCGTTCACGATATTTGCTTATGCGTAACTACACGAAACACTTCTTCTTAATTCGAGTTCTGTACGCAGTGTGTTGGAATGTAAGCACGTGTCGTATGCTGGCACAGTGACACGCTATGAGAGGGAGAGAGAGAGAGAGAGAGAGGAGAGAGGGAGAGAGAGAGGAGAGAGAGAAGGCGAAAACTGTCGGCGTGTGCAAGCGCGCTGTGTGTGTCGTCTGCGCTCCCTGCGTCTCGCACACGGCGCAAAAGCGCTTTAAACTAATTTACTTTGCTGTGAATCCCCGGACGTCACAGCCAGGTCCTCACTTTTAGTTTTTCCCGGCCGCTCCGCCTCTCGTTACACTGGAAATCTGAGTCAGCTCGAAAGTCGGCCCAAACCACCAGTTCTACGATATTTGTCACCACTGCGGAAGGTGTTTCATTATTGCAATAATAAACTCACAAAATACGCACGCGCTTTTTAATGCTCACTAGTGCTTTTGACGAACATGTTTGTATCCTTGCTCAGCAGTACTTTTCATTCGCAACATTCATTATATATTCGTACACAAAAAAAAGCCGAAAAAGCGGTGACTCGACAGGCGTTCAAAAGAACGTGACGACCTTACCTGGGTATCCCAGTGCACTTTCTCCGAAAATCGGCAGTCACTCAGAAGTTCCATCGCACAGCAGTTTGTGCCTGCGATCGGTCCTTGCACCATGGTGGTCCCGGTACCTCGCTTTTTAGGCACGAAGTAGCCTTATAGTATACCCAGGATTCAGCCGGCCCGAGATTCAATATGTGTGGCCCTTTATGCATTTCGGAAATTTTCTATACGATTTTAATGAGACTTTGCAGACTTGTAGAACTTTGAACACTGATTCTCATGCTGAAATCTGGTTAAAAAGTTGGTGGCCAATTTTGAGAAATTTGCTGTCAAAATCGCCGTTTCTATGGCAAAACTCGACTCGTCAAAGGGAAAAAAAGGGAGTGGGGGGAGCCGAGCTGGGGCGGACCAATAGCCGAGCTTCTTTTTGGGTCTGTACAGCTTACTCCAAAAGCAGAAATCAGCACGTTCGAAATGAAAAATTTCTTTGACTGCAGGTAGACAAGATGCAACAATAGAATTGGTGTCGGTTCGAACGCAGTTTTTCGGGTAGAACTATCCAATAATACTTCTTGATTGGAGTGTTTTTGGACATGCGTAGTAGGTTTGCAACCTGTTTAACAGTTTAACCAACTGTAGCATTTGAAATCTGAATTAATTTTGCTCTCTTTCTTGTTTTTTCTTTGTTTCCTGCTTATGAAAATTCATATAAAACAAATTTTCAATTTTTGTGTGATGACTTTCTAAAAAAATATTCACAGAAAATTAGCAAAACAAAAGTTCTTTTTTTCTGACATATAGTTTCTCAAATATTCCTTTTTTTTCTGTCAATAAAACAATTTTGTTGTTGTTGTGATTCAGTTAGCACTGGGACCACTTCGCTCCACCTCGCGACTTGCAGTGCTCATGTTCCTCGAACAAGACTCACCCGCGTTTCGAAACCATCCCTCCCGAGTTTATGAAGTTTGTCAAACCAACCGTCAAGGTTTTGATACGTTGTAAGGGAGAACTATTACACAGAATTGAAGAAAACATGACTAGAGAACCACAGCCTTTTGAAACAAGCCAAACAATTCAACGTCAGCAACAATGGATGGGCAGTTTTAATGCGCGACTGCTGGTGCTTTCAGCTTCGCGATCTTCGCAAGGGCGCAGACGCCGAGAAACTAGTTGCCAACCCGTGAAAATAAATTTACTGCCTTCTTTCTGCCAAGAACATTTTAGTAATGATGGACTTTAAAGATGTTCCATTGTTAGAACACTGCGGGATACATTAGCATTGGAATTTTTTGAATTTACCAGCATTTTGATTTCTATTGTCAAGTTTAAATTTCGACGGGTGGCACATCGACCACATTGGTACCACTGCCATTGGTAGTCCCCTGAGCCACAACTTCACAACACCACTTCTTTTCTTTCTCCACACTCTTACACAATGATCAAATTGACTTCGTGACTCCTAGGATTTCTTGAAATCGTATTTTTTTCTCTCGTAGCACTCGCCCCCCGTTTTTGTCTTTTTTCGTGTGAACGAACGTGAATCTGGTGCTCGCCCGCCACAAGCAAGGTCCTCTTCCTCATTTACACACACATTACAACACCCACACAGACGCGCAGGCACGCACACCCCCGTTGACCCTCTCATGCACGTCAGACCCAGGCTCGGAGATCACAAGCACAGGGGCAGATAGGTCGCCAGGCCGGGCTGTGCTGTGCACAGTGTGCTGGCTCTGGTGCTGGTGGCTGTGACACCGCTCGAGGCTCGGATAGGAAAATGAAAGTCCGTGCGATTCAGCTGATCGTTGACACGAGGCGCTTTTGTCGTTTGCACCGCCGCGGATTACATTGTTGTTGTTGTTTTGGTGCGGCAAATCGCATTTTGTGTTTGTGTTGCGTGGGGGCCGTCCATAATGCCGTGAGCCTGTCGGGCGGCGGTCTGGTGAGCGGGCTGAGCCAGGGGACGCCTTAATTGTTGGGCACGGTCTTGGTCTCGGTCCGCACACAAACTGTTGGCCAGCCAATCAGGGTCTTCCTGGGGCGCACAAACTTTTTGTGGTTGCTCACTCCCCGCCCCCCGCGCCGCCCCCGCGCCGCCCCCGTGCCGCCCCCGACCTGGCCGACTCTTTGGGCGCACGTTCCGCCAACACCTCCCGGCCGAGGCCTGGCTGGGCCTGGCGCGTGACGAGCGGAGCGCGGACGCCGAGCGGGCCGAGGCCGTGGGCAAGGTGCGCGTCGTGCCGAGCCGAGCCGGGGCGGCCCGGTTCGTGTTGCTCCACAATGGGCGCGGCCAGGGCGGCCAGGGCGAGGCGCCGAGGCCAAGGCGGTCCTGGGCGTGGGCGTGCCCGGCCCGCGTCGAAGGTAATTTGATCGCAGCGAACCGTGGAAGAAGCCGGGGAGGGGGAGGACGTCGCGCCGACCCGCACGCACCCGATGACCGTCTCCTTCTTTCTGCCCTCCAGGATGCTGCGCACCTACGTCCGCAACACGTACACCCACCACCTGTCCGAGATCTTCTCCACGGTGGTCAACGAGTACACGGACTGGGAGCGCACGGCGCTGCACCCCATCAACACCCGGGACGCGACGGTGGCGGCGCTCAGCGACGCGCAGTTCGTGGCGCCGCTGGTGCAGACGGGCGACGCCATCTACCGCGTGGGGCCCGCGTCGCCCGTGTCCAACAGTGGCCCCGCCGGCGGCCCCGTCGTGCCCATCGCCAGCTCCGGTGGCATGGGGGCCATCCTGCGCACCGACGGCACCGGGCCCTTCTTCTACGTCTTCGACTACCAGACCAAGGAGGGCGACTACCCGCAGGTGAGTCCCGAGCACTCTCTCACTGTCGTCGTCGTCCTGGGGGTGCCGCTGAGTTGGCCAGAACACCGGTGGAGGCGGCCAAAATACTGGGCGCGTTTTGGGCTCTAGAGTCACAAACAGGACTTGAACCGAACGTGTTACCCCAGCAATGGATTCCTCGTTCGGAGAGCAATCCATTGGTGGGGTCGCACGTTCGGTTTTAGCTCAAGTCAGCGACTCTGGAGCTCGAAACCTGTCCGAGATTTCCACTGTCTCCACTGTGCCGCGGTTGCCGCACCGCCCAAGGAGGCCTTGGAGGGCTCTGCTGACTGAATCGCTTTCGTCGTTCTGTCTCTCTCGGGTCACCCCATGACACTCTACCAAAACGACACCACCTCGGAACAAACGGCTATCTCCAAAGTGAGTGCAGACAAACGGCTATCTGTGAAAGTGCTGCAGACAACACTGCAATTTGGCTGGAAAGACTTCACGCCAAAATATGGCGAGACATTAAAGTCTCGCCAAGATTTGGTCAGACCTGAAAGTCTCGCCAAAATTTGGTCAGACAAAAAAGTCTCGCCACAAAACGGTCATACACAAAAGTCTGACCCCAAAATGGCGAGACTTTTGTGTCTGACCACGGCCTTTAGGCCGTAACCGTCCGGCACATTACGGCCTTTCGGTGGTGGTCAGACACAAAAGTCTCGCCATTTTGGGGTCAGACTTTTGAGTATGACCGTTTTGTGGCGAGACTTTTTTGTCTGACCAAATTTTGGCGAGACTTTCAGGTCTGACCAAATCTTGGCGAGACTTTTATGTCTTGCCTCTGGAATGGCGAGAAGTCTGACCTTTGGATTTGTAGTGAAACGGCTATCTTTTTGACCCCCTGCAGACAAACGGCTAACTGTTTTCTCCACTTTCCGAGTTTGGATACTTATATATTTACAATCAATTGAGCCTGTCAAATTTGACCTTATCCAACAGATGTCAAAAGTTTGTCAGAGCAGATTGACACATAACATGAGTCTGTCACGTGCGTCTAACCTGAGAAAAACTCAAGGAACCCGGCCAACCCTAACCTCTCCCGAAAAGTCAGTTAGCCGTTTGTCTGCAGGGGGTCAAAAAGATAGCCGTTTGTCTGCAGCTCCCACAGCCGTTTGTCTGCACTCCCTTTGGAGATAGCCGCTTGTTCCGACGAGGTGTCGAAAAATGTCCTGTAAATGCCGTTAATTTATTACCAGTTTTCACTGTAGATCAATTCACAGCGTTTACTGTGATCAACTCACGGGATTCACTGTGATCTTGTTCGCGGTGTTCACTGTGATCTGGTCCCCAGTAAACTCTGTGAGTTTGACACCGCTAAGCACCGAAGTACTGCAAATCAGGCTCCAATTCACGGCGTTGACTGTGGCCAGATCACAGTGAACACTGTAACCGAGATCACAGTGAACGCCGTGAACTAGTTCACAGCAAACGCCGTGAATTGCATAACAGCAAACATTGGCAATAAATTAACGGCGTTGACAGGACATTTTTTGTAGAGTGGAGTGCGAGAGAGACAGAGCGACGAAAAGGACTCTCAGATCAGCCCCGATCAGTCGTGGTCTAGCCCGTAGTGGCAATGGTAATGGAGGCAGGCAACACAGCGCGCCCGTGCGCTGCGGCTTGCCTACCCGCTCTTCCGCGGGCGCTCCGTGCCGCAGATCGCATTTCCGCCTCACAGTGGACCAGAAGACCAGTGGAGGCGGCCTAAACTCTAGACGCGTTTTGAGCTCCAGAGTCGCTAAATGGGACTCGAACCGAACGTGTGACCCCACCAATGGATTCTTCGTTCGAAGAGCTATCCATTGGTGGGGTCACACGTTCGGTTCCAGTCCCATTTAGCGACTCTGGAGCTCAAACCGCGTCTAGAGTTTTGGCCGCCTCCACCGGTCTTCTGGCCCACCGGGCGTCTGTCCTGCGCCAGCTTGTCGGAGGCTATCTCTCTGCGCAGCGGGGCTTCTAAGCCGGCCGGGCACTCGGCGTTATAATCCCTGGCCGCCCCGGCGGTCCGGGCCGGGCCTGGCCGGGCCGCCACCCCCTCACTGTTAGTTTCGTATAACAATGACCCGCACTGCTGCCTGCCGTACTGCCGCGCCGCCGTCGCCGTGCGCGTGAGCGGAATGGCTCGGGTCGCCGACGACACTGCCGGAGCGGCGCCACACGCTCAAACACTTCACGTCTAAACCACCGAAAACGTCAAACATTTTCGTTTAAAAATTCAAGTTTACAAGTGAAAATGGAAAATTTTCAGCCAGCTCATCATAGCGACTAGGGAATTTTTCTTTCCGAGAAATAATACTATTTGGTGGCACGTGGTTTCCCCGGTCGCGTTAGCCGAGGCCGCTCCAGCCTGGGTGACGGTTTATTTACAGAGACGCCTCTTCCTTGATGAGTCTGCGGGCGAGTTTATTCGACAGTGCCGTGCCGTGCCGTGCCGCGCCGTGCCGCGGTGAACCGAATGGGGTGCACGAGTCGCGGATTATTGCGGCACAGTGAGCTAGCAGCGAGTACTGCGCCTCGTTATACGGGCCACGCTGCGCCAGTCGCTAAACTATCCGGCCGCCGCGCCGCGCCAAGCATTTCCACATTCAATTACCGCAGCGCAGAGGCGATGCCGACACATAACTTTGGGCCGCGCGTTCGCGTTCCCGCCGCCCCGCCCCGCCCCGCCCCGCCCCGCCCCGCCGCGCCCCGCCGCGCCCAGCCAGCACATGTGGCCCGTTTCACTTGCGCCGCAGTGTCTCCCGGCGGCCATGCGTGCCAAGACGGCGGCAGCGGAGCGGGAAAATCGTCGACCGGCCCGGGTTCGAGTACGGCTGGCGGCCGGCGCGGTTTTGATTGTTTCCACTTTTTTTTCGGCCTGACTGGCTTAGCCAGCGGGTCAGTATGCGGCTGGCGGCGCCCCGCAGTGATTGGCCCGGAGATTAACGGTGGAGGGGCGCGGCGCGGTTCGGGGACCTACACGCTTGGATGGCCCAGTAATGCCTCCGAATCAAGTTATGGTTCGCTGTTGTTTCTTTCTCTTGTCTTTGTTTTCCCAGGCCTTGTTTTTGTTTCAACGTGTTATCTCTGGACGGCGCGCTCGGCCGAGAGGAAGTAATGCGATTGGCGGCCGGCCAATGTGCGTCGCCTGGTACGCACTTTGATCGTGTATCGATTGCCGATTGTCTCTGTCTCTCTCGCACTCGCGGGGCGTCCCGCAAGGGAGCGAGGGAGACGGCGACGACGGAGACAGCCTGCCGGCGGCGCGTGCAGACTAGTGCGGGCGGTCTCGTCGTGTTAGCGCCCCGCGCCCCGCCCAAGAAGTGGCCATTTCCTACTGCGCGCTGCACACTGCTTCCCGATGTCCGATCACGCCCGCCGCGCCCCGCCCCGCCCCGCCCCGCCCCGCCCCGCCCCGCCCCGCTGGGCTCCAGCCAAATCTACAAACGGCTGGGGAGATTAATAGGGTCTCAAGAGTCGGCCAAACTTTTCAGCGCTGCCTGCCGGGCGGGCCGGCCGGGCCGCGCGGGCGAGGAGGCACGGATGGCTGCCCGCGCCGCCGCGCAGCCACGTCGAGCCGAACCATCAATTCGGACCATTTTTGAGGAAGCAAAAAAAAATCGAAAGAGAAAGAGAAGAGCGTGGAAGCACGTGCCCCTTCCCCCTCTCGCGCTGCTGCCGGCAGCAGTGACGTTGTCCCGAGGAATTTCCACGCTCGTGCGGAAAAATGTCGTTTGTCATTTTCGTGAGCCAAGCGGAGTCATTTAGCCTTATTTGTTCGTCACTTTCGAATCCCGGAACAAAGCCGGTTTCGGTGTAAGCCTCGCCAAAGGACTGGGTCGTCGTCGGCCTCCACCCCCCCCCCCTCCCCCACCCCCCATCTTTTTTTGCGGTGTGCTTCCCTCACCTGTCCTTGCTCCTCGCCAACATCCTTCCCCGTCATCCTGGCCGATCCGTCTCTGCCTCCCTGCACCATTATTATCACGTGCCACGCCCCGCCACACCCCACCACGCCCCGCCACGCCCCGCCACGCCTCGCCACGCCTCGCCACGCCCCGCCACGCCTCGCCACGCCCCGCCACGCCCCGCCACGCTCCGCCACGCCCTGCCACGCCCCGCCACGCTCCGCCACGCCCTGCCACGCCCTGCCACGCCCCGCCCCGCCACGCCCTGCCACGCTCCGCCCCGCCACGCCTCGCCCGGCGCAGCAGAGAGATTAGCCGGGGCCACGCGCCGTTATACATTCAGGACACGTGTCGCCACGTGCGCACTCACCTGGCATTGCGCTCGTGTGTGTGTGTGTGTGTGTGTGTGTGTGTGTGTGTGTGTGGACGCGGTACGGGTGCTTCCATGTACGTCATCGTCCCCAGGAGGGTCCCCAGGAGGGTGCCCAGCGGTTTGGTATCCGCATGCCTGGATGGTGCCTGGATGGTGCCTCGATGGTACCTGGCCGGGGCTACCCGCCCGCACGGCCCTCGCCTTTCAGCGTGCAGGCATGTCGTCGCCCGCCCTCCCCCCCCCCCCCCCCACCCCCCCCCTTGTCTCCTCCAGTCTCGGTGGGGCCGCAATCCAACGCCCCAATGCGCTCAACACCCTCCACTCAGCGGCACGGCAAGCACGCCAAGCAAACGGGCCTGCTTCTTCGCCCCGCCCCGCTCTGCCCCGACCGCGCGAGTCAACGCGAGTCAACACTACGTGCGCCGGGCGAGCGATTCTGCTGCCCCACACTCCCTCGCTCTGCCTCTCTCGCACTCACGGAGTGTGCCGGAAACGGCCGAAGAGGTGCGAGGGAGGCAGAGTGAGGAGTGTGGGCCGTTAAATCACCCAACTTGCTAGCTATGGTGTTGTTGTAGGTGCATGTACTCTCTCGGACGGGTATGCAGCTCTCGCGCATACACAGACACGCGCTCACGCTGCCTTCCAACGCAACGGTAGCCTCAACACCCCAAACAAATCGAAGGACGCTCTGCCGCGCTCTACTCGAGGCTCTACTCCCC